ATTTAGAGATCATCTGAAGAACAGATTTGATACATTAAACACTAAAGACTGAAGACCAGAAGAGTTGGGCTGACATCAAGAACATCATACATGAAGAAAGCAAAAAGTCATTAAGACAAGAGAAATTCTGGACAGGTCCAAATACATTTCAGAAGAGACACTGAAACTTGCATTCTTGTGTAGAGATGCTAAAGCAAATGTCAGAAATGAAGGGGTCCAAGAGCTGAACAGAAAATTCCAAAGATCAGCTCGAGAAGATAAAGCCAAATATTACAACAAAATATGCAAAGATCTGGAATCAGAAAACCAAAAAGGAAGAACACGGTCAGCATTTCTCAAGCTGGGGGAACTGAAGAAAAATTTCAAGCCTCGACTCTCATTATTGAAAGATTCTCTGGGCAAATTATTGAATGATGCAGAAAGCATCAAGAGAAGATGGAAAGAATACACAGAGTCACTATACCAAAAGGAAATGGTTAATGTTCAACCGTTTCAAAAGGTAGCATATGATCAAGAGCCAGTGATACTGAAGGAGTTAGTCTAAGGTACATTGAAGGAATTGGCAACAAACAAGGCACCAGGAATTGATGGAATAAAAATTGAAAAATTTTAAGAAAAGTGAGGCCGCACAGGAGGCACTCATTTATCTATGCCAAGAAATTTGGAAGACAACTATCTGGCCGACTGATTGGAAGAGATCTGTATTTGTCCCCATTCCATAGAGAGGTGATCCAACGGAATGCGGAAATCGTGGGACAATCTCTTTGATATGCCATGCAAGTAAAGCTTTACTAAAGGTAATACAGAAATGGCTGCAAGCATACATTGACAATGAACTTCCAGAAGTTCAAGCCGGATTCAGAAGAGGCCATGTAAGGATGGCTGAAAGTAGAGAATATCAGAAAGATGTTTACCTGTGCTTTATTGACTACACAAAAGCTTTCAATTGTGTGGATCATGACAAGCTATGGACATTGCAAAATATGAGTATTCCGGAACATTTAATTGTGCTCATGAGGAATCTGTACATGGACCAAGAGGTAACAGAACATGGGAACATTGAATGGTTTAAAATTAAGAAAGGTGTGTGACAAGGTTGTATTCTTTCACCATACTTATTCAACCTGTATGCTGAGCAAATAATACGAGAAGCTGGGTTCTATGAAGAAAAGTGGCATCAGGATTGGAGGAAGACTCATTAACAACCTTGCTTGCTGAAAGTGAAGAGGACTTGAAACATTTACTGATGAAGATCAAAGAGCACAGCCTTCGATATGGATTACATCTCAATGTAAAGAAAACAAAAATCCTCACCACTGGACCAATAAACATTCTTATCAATGGAGAAAAGATTGAAGTTGTCAAGGACGACTTCATTCTTCTTGGATCAACTATCAACACACACGGAAGCAGCAGTCAAGAAATCAAACGACGTATTGCATTAGGCAAATCTGCCACATAAGACCTCTTTAAAGTATTGAAGAACAAAGATGTCAGCTTGAGGACTGAGGTGCACCGGACTCAAGCCATGGTATTTTTAATAGGCTCATATGTGGAAGTATGGACAATGAATAAAGACTGTAGAATTGATGCATTTCAGTTGTGGTGGTGAAGCAGATTGATGTATTGTGTACTACACCAAAAGAACAAATAGGTCTGTGTTTGAAGAAGTACAGCTGGATGCTCCTTATATGACTGACACTGTCTCTCTCATAGTTCAGACCATCAGGAGGAACCAATCCCTGCAGAAGGACATGATGTTTAGCAAAGTGGAGGGTCAGTGAAAGAGAGGAATAACCCCCTATCACCACCACCGAGATATATTGGCACTGTGGTAGGAGAAATGAATGCGCTCAATCAAAACAATTGTGAGGATGGTGCATGACTGGGCAGTGTTCCATTCTGTTGCACATAGGGTCACTATTGAGTCTGAACTTGACTGCACCCACCAATATGCATTTAAATAAAATCTGGATCATTAGCACCCTCTCACAATGCATTTGTTTATGAACTCTTAAAACTACCATTACAAAAGGAGCTCTGGTAGCATAGTGGTTATGAATCGGCCTGAGAACCTCAAGGTCAGCAGTTCAAAACTACCAGCTGTTCTGTGGGAAAAAGATGAGGCTTTCTGCTCCCGTAATTATTTACAGCCTCAGAAACCCTGTACAGGGTCACTATGAGGTGGAAGTGACTCCACAGCACATCACCACCACCATTACAAAGAAACTTGGTTTCTAAATTAACACACATAAACATGTTACTAACGCTCAATTTGACGTTTTTAATTCCTCCACAGACACTATATAGTCTGTTAACTCCAAAAATGTAAGATTAATTCTCCCACAACTAAACGATAATTTAGTTTATCAGGCACTGTGGTTGGCAGAATGGCCCAATAAAGATGCCTATGTCCTAATTCAGAATGTTAGGCTACATGACAAAATATAGTTTCCGCAAGAATTAAAGCTGTTATTCAGTTGAACTTTAAAAGGGTAATGATATTATCCTGGATTACAGACGGGAGGAGACGGAGAGATCACAAGGGCCGTTAACTGTGGGAGAATTAAAGATGGCAACAGTGGTAAAAGTCTTGACCCTGTTGTTGGCTTGAACACAGAGATATGGGCTTTATGACTCTAAAGTTAGAAATCAAGGAGCTGGATTCTCTCCTAGTCTCTAGATAAGAACACACCTTGCTAACACCTTCATTTCAGCAGAGATAGGTTCACGTCAGTGTCCCGGTAGTGTAGTGGGTTAAGTGCAGGGCTGCTAACCTCAAGGTCAGCAATGTAAACCCACCAGCCACTCTGTGGAAAAAAAGATGAGATTTACAGCCTCAGAAACCTGTTTCAGGGTTGCCAAATCAGAACCAACTCGGCTGCACATCACCACCATATTCATGTCAGACATATTCCATACAGCTATAATAGTGTGTTGTCTTCAGTCAGTACATTTGGGGTAATTTGTCATAGCAGTAAATAGAGGAAAGCCAGTCATCAAGTTGATTCCAACTCATTTATAACAGAAAAATATGTCATCATATTAACTTTGTACATTTGTATAAAAGCAACATGTTTCTGGTTGTCTTGCTCATTTGGGGGTAGAAGCCGTTCAGTGAAGAGTTTTGGACAGGTTGGTGATATGGAGAAAGAAGGTTGTAAAGGGACCATCTGATACACAGACTTGGATCCTTAAGTATCAGAACACAGCAGCCAAGAACATTGACATTAAAGAAAAATAGCGTAGGATTCCAGCTGTCAATAGCAGTTTAATACTGAGTAGGCTTTTCCACTTTTGTAAGTACTAGTTTCCTCATCCAGTTCTTAAGTCTTCACCTTTCAGGGCTAAGCAATATTTATGTAACACACTCAGAACAACAAAGCCTGCCATACCAGTACCAAGGGTTCATGAAAACTTTCTTATTGCCACACATATTACAAGGGGCGGTCTTTGAAGGCATGGAGACATTCAATAGATGCAAAGCTAAATAATAAAATGGTCCTACTTTTTAAAATATGTCAGTTTTTTTGGAGGAAGTTTTCCTTAAAGCAGGGGAATCTGAAAGATGAACTTCATTTAATTCATTTTGTGCTAAAGGCTCTTTGTAGGTGGAACTCAGACTGAGAATGACTCTCAGTCTACTCATTGAGTCAGTATGTTCATTCTTTCCTTACTCTGTTTTTATTTCAGGGGTTTAAAGCCCTGGTTTTAGCAGCCCTGTAACTCCAAGTAATCATCATCATTAACAGGGGGCTCTACCTGCCTTACCAATCTTAAAAGGGTGTATGTATCAAGATAAAATGAGGAAGGAAGAAGGAATTTTAAATTACGCATCACACTATCTCTAAGACGCTAGTGTAGAGAGGTAGTCAGAATCTGACATCATGGCTTGCTTCCATCCCATTTACCTGTACCATGCAAAAACAAAAACAAAAAACTGGTGCCTGATCAACCTCCCACCCAAATCAACCACATTTACTGACAAGTTCTTTCAAGAATGTTAATTTTCTTTTATAAAACCTTTTTGGTTTCTTCCTAACAGTGAAGAAATGACTGACTCACCGTAGGTTTTGTTTGGGGATTTTTTTTCTCTAAGAAGTTAATATTCAAAAGAAAAGTAGACCAATGTTAAACAAACTTTATTGAAGCACAAGCCCTGTGTTTTAGAACTTTTATGATTAACTTGACTGGGATTAAAAAAAAAAAAAGTGCTACAAATTAGACAAAATGTTTTGTTTTGAACTCCCTCTCCTCTCCCCTCTATTAAGGCTAATTCATTTCAAAACTTATTTTTAATCTCTAGTATTTAAACTCTTTAAGAAAACAAGCTTGTAGAGTCATTTTTATATTTCAGCATATATTTCAGTGTATAATATGCAAAAATACTGGTTTCTCTCTTTTTTTGGTTTCAAGTCAGCATCATTTAAATGATAGCTTAATCAATACAGATGTATTATTTTAGAATATATTTAGAATAAACTTGGATTTGGATTAGTAATAGTATACATGTGTTTTCAACTTCAAACAAACCTCCCACATGGAATTGTACAGTTACCCTAAAAATAAATTAAGGATAATTACACGTTTAGTGTGGCACTGCAGGATAAGCACTGGGCTGCTAACCACAAGGTAGGAAGTTCAAACCCACCAGCAGCTCGGGGAAACCATACATAGTGTCGTTAGGAGTTGGAACCGACTTCACGGCACTTTAACAACACATTTGTCTTAAACAAAAGTTGTGTGGTCTTGCAATGATTGAGTCGTCAGTGTATCAAAATTTGATGATGTACAAGTTTTCAGAAACATAAAACATGTATAGAAAGTGGGCTACTGCTGCATTTTTTTTATTGGTAGTTCTCTATTTACTTCAATGACCGATGATAATCTACAAGATTCAAAAAATGTGTTTTTCTCCTCATCTTGTGCCTGATATAGCATAGACAGCTGTGCTTATATACTGTTGGTTGAGTTAGACAAGTACAATGTCTGAAAGAATTAAAGCTTTAAAGAAATTTTTGTACTGAATTTCAAATCACACACACAAAATAGGTGAAAGACTTTTTATCATATTTAGAATCAAAATATCCCTTAAAATATTTACATTTTACAGTAAAAAGGATAGCAAAACACAAGATCATGTACAAGCTTAAGTATTCAAGTTTCTGAAGAGCCAAAAATGGAAAAGAAAATAAGGGCCTTCTAACAAAGCTATAGTATACAGTAATAAAATGCCTTCGATGAGTGCAGATTAAAGCAATAAATGTACTCCTTGGACTTCTGATTCTTGGTCAAAATTACTCAACTAAACAATTAGTATAATTTGATTATGAAGTTGCTTGGCTTTTGTAGTTCCTCTACATCTTTTAAAAAAACAGTGCAATTTAAAACAAACTTACGGAGCACACACTATTCTCAAATTAGTCATTATATAAAGGACATTCACTAGAGGCAGTAAATATATTCCGTAGTTAACCATATTTATCAATTACAGAATAAAACTAAAATTTCTAAGCCTTTATTGCATATTAAACAAATCTTTGAATATACAGCAATGTAAAACTTTAAAAAATATTAAATTCCTACAACTAGAGACAGTTGGTATGAAGAAGGGATGAGGAGCAATGGTACAGAATGCTCTGCACCAACACACAGAAGTTATTTTTCTGCAAATCACCAATATTAAAAATTTTAAAAGATGGCACAGTCCTAGCAGGCAGTCTTATATAAAGTTTTTAAGATACAACATTTAATAGTTATTTAAATGTACTCATGAAATAGCCTGCCAATTTTACCTTTTGCTTTTAGCTCTGTCAGTGTGGTCCCTATCTTTGTGGTACCTATCCCTATCCTTTTCACCTTCTCTATGTTTACTTTTCTCTCTTTCTTTGTCCTTTTCATGGTCTTCACTTTTAGGCTTATCTGGTTTCTTGTCTACATTCCTGTCTCTGCTTGCTTTCCCGTCTGCTCCTCGATCAGTGTGTGATAACCGTGCCCGATCTTTATCTTTGTGCCCTTCTTCCCTGCTTTTTCTGTCTCTGCGTCTATGCCTTTCAGATTCTTGCTCCCAAGAATCCTTTTCATGCCGTTCCCTTTTCAAGTGGTGCGAATCACTATAAAATCTCTGGCGGTCCCCTTTGCCCCTAGTGAATACCCTATCCAGGTGCTGTTGGTCTTGCCTACCCCAAGGGTCACTATGACGTCTTTCTGGTCTCCGAATGTCTTTAACCTGGTAAAAATTTTGTGGGCCCATATACCTTGAAGCTTGTGAGAGGGGGCCCAACATACGGTGTGGCTGGCCTGCCAGATGAACAACAGGCGGCCAAGGAACCACTGGATTCTGAGGAAAGCTAAAGCCTGGAGGGGGAAGTAGTGGGGGAGGCAAATGTGGTGGAAATCCAAACATGTTCTGTGGGGGGAAGTTAGGGGGTCCTGGAAATGGAAATGCAGGTGGGGTAGACTTGAGATGCTGAAGGCTGGGCTGCTGTGGCCTCACAGGTGAAAAGTTTGCATTTGTTCTAGGGCTGGTGCTTCTAGAGGTAAAATTGATGCTTTTAGAAGGAAACTCTGGTTGGCATGCGTTTCCAAGTTCAAAATGAGATGTTGCTGCCGCTGATCCTCTTCGTAACAGGTGCACAGTTTCAATATTTTGCATTAAAATATCCTCCTGTAAAGGTTTTGTTTGTTCTGTTTGAGGAGTTTGTATATTTTCTACTGAAGCTGAGTTTTGTGGAACACTTGAATTATCACTCTGCTGAACACATGAGTTTCTCTCTACAGAAGACAAGTTTTCTTCTACACTGGTTGGCTCTGTTAAGTGCTCCTTGTTGTGTGACAGGCCAGCCAGCGTGTTTCTCTCTTCATTCCGGCAACTATCGCCATCTTTGCTCTCTGACGTATTTAACTGCTGACTGCGTCCTGCAGCTTGTCTAGGGTCCCTTTTCAAGTTGATAAACTGTGGAGACCTTGTCGTGCTACCAACAAGATTGTCACTGCAACTCACATTACTGTCTATGTTTCCTTTTCCTATATTCGCTCTGCCAGGAGAACCAGTATTTGAAGTCTGGTTATCTTGTGAACGGTTCTCCTGATCTTGAAGCAGCTGGCTTTTTAATGTGCTCTCTTTACTCTCCATAGTTTCCTCTTGTTTTGACTGAATTGATAAATTTGTTAAGAATGCTTCTGTAGAAATATCTGGTGGTTTACCTCTCAAACTAAGATTCGTTAAAGCTCCTGGAGAGGTGGAAGATGACCCCAGTGGTGATGTTTCTTCTTCTACTACTACTGAATTATCTGTAGCTTCTGTATTATTATCTACTTTAACCTTCACCTCCTTGGCTTCATCATCAGTTATTTCTACTTCATCTACTTTTTCTGCTTTTGGGTTGGTTTGCTCATTGATAAATGGAATGTCTTTAAGATTATTTTGTTCTATCACTGGCTGAACTTGTTCATATACTTGACCAGTGGAGCCCAAAAGGCTTTGAAGTATATCATCCACAGGAAGAGGTTTATTTGCTAAATCCAGGCTAGAAGCCTGATTTTCCCAGCCAATCAATACCCCAGGAAGAAATCTTAAAGGTTTTGGTGGCTCCTGTTTGGTGACTTCCACTAAAGGTTCAACTGTTGTTGGAAGGTCTTCCTGGAGAGTCTGCTGAGGCTTATTTCTCTGCTTGTGCAATACTGTTGTAAAAGAATTAAAAAAGTCATTTTCTTCCTCTGGTGCTTCCTCTGTAGAAGCTTCTATTTTACTTTTTTTATCAGGTGGCAATGCCCCCGGCACAGTTTCAGGAGCCTCAGCTACATGGCTAGCACTAGCACTATGCGGCCGCTTCAGTTTCTGACGAATAATCAAGCCCAACAGTAGATTAGGTCTATGCAGTTCAAGCCCTGTACAAAATAAGAAACATAGGTTAACAGCCATGTTTGAATTACAATAAAAGGACAATTTTGTATCAAGCTCACTACAGGCTATCTCAAATGGGTACTAGAGTCCCTTGTCAAGAAAATCATCTATCTAATGCTCTGGATACCGAAAGAGAAAGCAGTCAGCTTTTTCAGTTAGGTCCCACCTCCCACTTTAGTTCAATCATATCCCATCATTAAAATGTACACCTACCAGGTCCATCAAAAGGCACAAGAGGGTGTGGAATTTTATCTGTGGCACCCAAAGGAATAAGGTACATATCCTTAACCTGCTTCATGTTGTTAGCAGCTACTCCATAGCGTTTTCTGCTACTGAAGTACGCAAACAGCAATGTATACGAAATTTGATCTTCTTCAGTTACTGGTGTGAAGCGAACCACACAAATTTCCTATTCAAGAAAATTAACAAATGGTTATTTAAGAAATAATCTAAAGTAATCATCTATCAAATGTTATAATGATGATTATGAAATATCATAGTTTAATAACTTAAATACAGTTAAAGAATATTGAAAGAAAAAAACTCATAGGGAAAAATATTTGGTGGAGTTGTTTTTATAAATGTTTCCCATGAGAAATTAAGGCCCAACTGTGTGATAAAGTTGTCCAAGGTGACACAACTTATTAGTGGCAGAGATGACACTGAAATTCAAGTCTTTAGACATCTATATTATAACCTGATTTCTAAGACTGTGATGTCTACAGGGAATGCCTATGCTATTGGCACACTGGGAATTAACAGCACTCACAACTAACTTACGCACACAAACACAAAATTACTGATGATCTGGCTTACTACAACTACTCTTAGGTAATAAGAGTGCCAGGTAAAATGGCCTCCAGTGTAAGTGAAAAAAAAAAAAAAAAAAAAAGTTAAATTATTTGGTTTACGCTGGAACTTTGTTGCTTGCTTTGGATTCAAGGCTTTGTTTGATATAGAAAAGACATTCTAACTTGGTATTGATTTCAGAGTGTGAGAAATGAATGTTTTTGAATTAATAAGGCATACAAAAGGGAGTGCCAGATTTCAATTAAAATTGAAGCAGGATGCTAAAGAAAACATAAATGAGCTGAATGATGGTTGTGCTTCTTATGGTCGTCATCTAAACAGCCTTCTTTTAGACAAAAAAAAAACAAAAAACAAAAAACAAAGTAAAATAAACCATTTATATATTGTTAAGTTCTCAAGTGCCATCAAGTCAATTCTGATTCATAGCAACTTGTACAGGGTTTCTAAGAAGCAGCTAGTGGGTTTGAATCACTGACTTTGTGGTCCAGTGCTGATCCTACAGCACCATACCAGGAATAGCGATGACTATCACAGGGATCTAGTCAGCTGAAATTGGAAGCATACTATGACATTTTGAGCATTAGCATGTGGGTATACTCAAAAATGATTTGCAAAACTTCCAAGACCATTTCGCATTTTCATTACCATAAAGAGTTGTTGCTATTCTTGTTAAAGCGCTACTGAATTGGTTCCAACTCATAGTAACCCTGTAGAGGGTTTTTGAGGCTGTAGTAAATATTTTCACGAGCAGAAAGCTTCATCTTACTTCCATACAGCAGTTGTTGAGCTCAAACTGCTGACCTTGTGGTTAACAGTCTAGTGTTTATCCTATGGAGCCACTGCATTCTCATCACATAAAGAGGTACATTTTTTATAATGCTTCAAAGTGCATTTGCATTCTAACATAGTACTAAATTAAAATCTAAAATCTACATTGGGAAAAGAAAATGATTTCAGCTCAAAACCATCAATTTTGGATTACCCCAAAGATTATTGTTATCTGTACCAGCAATTGGATTATGACTCATAGAATAGCAAGCCCATGGAAGAGAGTACAACTACCCTATAGGATTTCTAAGGCTATAATCTTTACAGAAGTAGACTGCCATGTCTAAACTTCCAGAGAGCAGCTTATGGGTTCAAACTGCCAACTTTCAGTTTACAGCTGAGTGCTTAATCACTGCACCACCACCAGGTTGCCTACAGAAAAGTAAGAGGCCTCTAAACTTAATTTACAGAAGAGAGGCAGAAAATTAATGTTCACTAATTCAAGATTTACTGAATGCCTACATAGTCATGTGTTGCTTAATGTCCACAATATCTATGTGATATGGACATTGTAACTATATTATCATATACAAGAATACGTAATTATGAACTAATTATGTCTTTAAGACAAATGTGAATTTAAGTCCAAACAGTTTGTATTTAAAGTCAGTAAGTCAAATATTTGTCTTAGTAATAGGGGGTAAGTTAAAAAATATTACTATAAAATCATAGAAACATTAAACAAAAATATCAAAATATAAAGTTATTATTTCTCAATATATCCTCTATTGTTTGTTGTCATGTGCCATGGAGTTGGTTCCTACTCATAGCAACCCTGTACAGGGTTTCCGAGGCTGTATATCTATACAGGAGCAGAAAGCCTCATCTTTCTCCTGTGGAATTCTCCCGCAGAATAGCTGGTAGTTTCGAACTGCTGACCCTGAGATTAACAGCCCTATTGGTAACCACTACGCTACCAGAGCTCCTTCAATATATCCTCTAGGTAAGTCTACATACTTCTGAAGGCAGTGTTTTCATCTCTCTAAACACTCCCCGCAAAGAGTTCTGCACACTTCAGTTTATACCACATCAAACCAGCAGTTTGGCTGTTGGGACTCAAATCGTGCTTCTTTTAATATTCTTTTGAGTTTTGGGAACAAAAAGAAGTCTGAAGGGGCAAGATCAGGGCTTTGGGGTGAGGTTTCCCAACAAAATTCTTGTAGCGCAGTCCTTCCAGTGATGGAGAGATGAGGAGATGCATTGTGGGATGGAAAAAAAATTCCTCAGCACAACGTTCCTGGCCTTTTTCTCACCAATGCAGTGTTTAATTTTCTTAAAACTTTCCCACAGTAAGTCCTCTTAATCCTCCTGTGCACTTTAAGAAAATCTATCAAAATTAATGCTGTTGCTGTTTGGTACCCCTGAGATGGTACTGACTCACAGTGAACTGAACTTATTATGAACAAGAGAACAAAACACTGCCTGGTATTATGTCAACCATAAAATCGCCATTACACTTGAACCCATTGCTGCTGTCACTGTGCCATTCATTGGAGGACCTCTCTTTTTTGTTGGCCCTCCACTTTACAAAGCATTATGTATTTCTCCAGGGACTGGTCCTCTTGACAACATGTCCAAAGTATAAGAGACTAAGTCTGGACATCCTGGCTTCTAAGGAGTACTATGACTACACTTCTTCCAACACAAATTAGTTGGTTCTTTTGGTAGTCTACAGTACTTTTAATATTATCCTCCATCATCATAACTCAAATGCACCTATTCGACTACGGTTTTCTAACGTATCAAATCTGTTCTTCAGAGATCTCTAAATTAGGTAGGGTATGTTCAAGGTCAAGATTACTGCTTTGCAATTCCAACAAAAGTCAACCTAAACTGACTGATTTCTCTGACCCAGCAGATGCCTTCAGATACCACTGTTCTGATTAGACTTTATTGTCTGGATCATATTGATAAATCCGTCTTGTCTCTGGATATGATTCATTACATAAAATCATTTTCATTAGCTACGAATTTTATTAACAGACTGATGGAAAGCATTTATCTTCCAATAATGCTTTTGGCACCCACTGATCAGAAAGTTTCCTTAGGTCTAGATGTTTGCTTAAAATTGAAAATGCTGAACGAATCATGTGAGATCTCAACTTCAGCAGATAATCACATTAATGGTAATTGTAGAGTCTTCTACCAGTTTCTGGATTTTTGCTACAGTTTCTTTATTTGCCAAGATCTTTCCTTTGTTGGTACACCTCTGAAGTCTTTCCAACATTCCTAAAACACAGGCTCCATCTAAAAACTGTTGCTTATGTGGGGCAGCAGTCCCATAAATGTGTTGCAAAAACTTTAATGATTTGAAAAGATGTTCATTTGAGTTCTGTTAAAATTCAAAAATTTTTTCCTATGGCCAGAAAGTATCCTTTTTTGTGAAAGCACCCTAATGAGGTTAAGACTAGTGTTGTTGATAAGTTCCAGCGAGTTGGTTCCGACCCATAGTGACCCTGAACAGGGTTTCCGAGGCTGTAAATCTTTAAGGGAGCAGAAAATGTCATCTTTCTCCTGCGGAGCAGCTGGTAGTTTCGAACTGCTGACCTTGCGGTTCGCAGCCCAATTTGTCTGCAGCTATCCACTGATTACAGACATGTTTAAATACATTCTGTTTAGAATAAACCCATGACGGCGTGAACTGGAACCCTAGTGGCACTACTTTTAATTCTATTTTTCCAACAAATTTTTTTGAAGCTCCCTTGCATATATTGTACCTTTTTTCACAAAAAAAAACATTAAAGAGGGGAACAAGCAAAATGGCAGATCGTAAAAAGTGCAGTGAGGAGCTCCATCAGCAACAACACAGAATACTGGACCAAGCAAGCACAGGGGATAGGGCCAGACCTCTGAATCACATTTAAAGGAATATTTAGAAGGTTGGAAGGCTTGCAGCTGGGGGAATTTGCAGCAGAAGCAAGAAATCCAATGGTTTCTAATTCAAGATCCTCAGCTGCTCCTGGAGCCACCATCTTGGTAGAGACCAAGCAGGGGAAGGATCAGAGCAGCCACGCACACATGACAGAACCACAGAGATAAAAGTGTGGACATTCTATTTTGTTTTTAATCTGTTCATTTGTCTCTTGCTGTTTGCGTACCTCCATTCTGGTGACAATAGGGGTGCCTGAGGGAGTGGACACACCACCCCCATTCTCAGAGGGTTCTATAAGGCATGTGCACAAAGCTCCTTAAAATTTAAGGTGACAGTTTCCACTTAAAACCAAATGGCAGTGCAAAACTGCCACAGCTGGCCCTGAACTGTTTATCATTAAGAAAAAGGTCTGAATGGGTACTGTGGAGTCAAAACAGGCAGACTAAAGAGGAACTGGACCAAATATTAAATCCTGAGTTACGTCACAATGACCAAAAGTGGCATCTTGAAATTTCTCAGGAAGAAGACTGAAAAGGGAAGCCCATCTCCTGATCACATCTACCTGGAGGCAATCAGAAAGCATTAAAAATACCAAAATACATATACATCTAAGTATTAAGGCCACAGATAACTCCTCAATATGCCCAAAAAAACAGAAGCAGATGACCATATCAGCACATGTCCAGAAACAAGATAAAGTGACTGAGGCAAATGAGCTGGAAGTAGACCTACACTCCATACTGGAAGATGGGCAGGCTTTGGAAATGCCTGAGAAGGAATTCAGAAAAATGATTATAAAAGGTATCAAAACACTATACAGTGGAGTTGAGAAAAATAAGGAAGAAGTCAGGAAAGCACTACAGGAACAATCAAATAAGATATACAGCATTGGAAACAAT